CGATATTATTTATCACCATCATTAGTTGTTTCAACATGATATTCGTTAGACTGAATATTCTTAAAACTTAATATATTTCTTGGTGATTTTAATGAAAATACTGAATCACCAATTATAATTATTGTCCCTTGTGGTAATACTATATTCGCTCTTCTAGAGTCTTTAATCATTTTTGCATTACCCGTTATTGTATTAACATTTGCTTCTCTAATTGATAAGTAAGTAAAATAATTTTCATTATTAAAAATGTTATGTGTTCTTGCACTGTCTGCAAGACATATATCTTCATCATTTCTTTTGCGAATATCAATATTTCTCTTCAATAAATTAGTAAAACATAAGAAACATTCAACTTAAAGAAATAAATTCATATTTTATTTCTTTGAGAAGATTGTGATGACATCATTTTTCATAATATGAATATGACATAAAAACATAATAAATTATATGAAACAAAACTACATATTATTCTCTAATCACTATCCATAGTAGCACGTGTCCCTTCTGGGTAGACAATAAAATCGACAACATCCAAATGTGTCATTTACGGTCGATCTTCGTGAAAATCATTTTGGATAAAATTTGTTTTGATATTTAATTTTTCTTTAGATTTTAAGAAGCTTGATAAAGATCAACAAAATGCTTTGGTAAGCGGCATGTACAAGACCAATAATCGGTCATTCTACATCGGTGACAAACATTTTCATCTTTCATTTTGCCTTGCTCACTTTTATCATTATTTTTGCTATTTTCCAACTTCTGGTGGTTACTTGTAATCTTGTTATTTTTATGATAATTATGATAACATTCACGATCTCGGTTACACCCATGACTATTATAATTATATGATGGTGCATTCACTTCAGGAAATGCAGTAGAATTGGTAGGGATTGATTGATGATTTTTCATCAATAACTCATGTTTTGTTTAGCCACAAGAAGGCATGAGATTAATTATGAATAGTTTTTTTTAAACGTTCCTCACGATATTGTTGATGTAGGAGCATGTTGGTGATATGAAAAGTAGAGAAAATTTTCTCTAGCATAAAATAATTTCCATAGTGAAAATATTAATCAAAATTAAGACTTGTACATTAAGGAATTGTTAGTTACAAAATTTTATAAAATAATATGTAATCATTGTACATGTGAGCTTATAAAAAATACATACCTGAAAATAACAAAAACGATAATGAGTTAGAGCTCTATAGTAGAGTCGTGCTGACAATGTGTTATAAAATAAAATTGAATAACAATATGAATTATAGATAAAGAAATATATGAGAATAAAGAGAACTTTTATTCAAATACGTGTGTGAAATCATCAAACCTTACAATACATAATATTAACTATTTATACTAGACAAAAAAGATGAAATATGATGTATGTTATAAATGTTCATTATAGTGATGCATAATTACAGTCATAAAATTCATAATAAAGTTTGTTATAATGCTCACTATTTATGGAGAGTAAAAGGAAAACATAGGAATCCAATAGTCATTCACTAAATAATATTTCATAACATTTTTATACTTATTTAAGAAAGATATTTAATGGCATATTTTTTTGGAAGATCATTAAACTACTCTTAAATCCATTTATATCCCTATAAACCATAACCACCAAGGATATAATTTCTTAAATATTGTAACATGGAGAAAGATGTATAGGTCATGTACCAAAACACTAATTTACTCTTCTCCAAAAAAGAAACGGGCAGCGGGCAGCGACCTTCTCTATTACTACCATCCATGTCTTGAGAATACTCCATTGCCCTTCCCTATAAAACCCCAACACCTGAACCCTTCTGTTCCCCACTATCTGCTCTCACAATTCTCTTCTCTCCCACAATCTTCATCGAGAATTGAATTGCAGAGCTCATTCATGGAGGCAACAAAGATGATGAAGCTTTTCGCCATAATGGTGGTGATGACGATGGCTGTCTCAGCCATCTCTGTCTCCGCCGCAGAAGCTCCGGCTCCGGCTCCTACCTCCGATGCCACAACCGTCTTCATCCCCACCGTTGTCGCCTCTCTATCTGCACTCGTTTTCTCCTTCCTTTTCTAATTAATTCTACTCCAGAGTACGATTTAATTTTCAGAGTTATTGTTACTATAAATATACCTATCAATTCTGCTCTCTCTCTTTTCTCCTATTTTAAATAGAAGGAAGCGAGAGAGAAGAATGTAAATCTTCTATCTATATTTGTGTTTGAGTTTGTTAGATTAATAAAATTTAGTTCGTGATATTAATGGATTTGATCTGTGGATTTGGGAGGAACTTGCACTATTTTTATGTTAAATCGGACGATGTAATCAGTAACTCCATACTCATATTGTATCATTCTTGTTTCTTAATGAATTCATAATTATATCTTTTTATCTATGATTCTGTTTGAGTTTGCTAGTATTTAATTAAATTCAGTTCCTGATTTTATTGGATTTGATCTACGTTTTTTCGAAGATCGATTATATGGATAGTTGTTCTTATCTAATCGGAATCATTGTAGAATGTAGATAGTTACATATTAATCTGATCAAATTCTTAGAGTTGCTTTTTATCATCTCAAAAGTAAAACAAATCTCAATGCGTTTGCACAATTGCACCTTTGTAGCTTTATTCGATATCTTGCTTTCCGAACCTGTGCTTTGGGAATAGCATTCCCACTTCGTAGTACATGATTCTACTTCAAATTTCACATTATTATTCCTTTTGAGGAATAGCATTCCCACTTCAATTAAAATTAGGTGAAAAGTAATAAGATGATCATTAAATAGTTTCAGCTTTTTCGTAATTATTTACGAACATTTGATTAATAATAAGAAACATTCACTTAATGCTTAAATATCTTTAAACAGTTTAGACGTCTTGTTATGTCACTTTGAATTAAACCTTAAGTGTTATTTGTGTACGACTTAATGAGATGTTAACTTATATGAATGTGGAATTGCTTATTTAACTGGAATGCTAGATTATATTCAATTACTGTTTGATTGTCAAATGGACACCTTTAAAAAAAATTATAAGTTTCATCTTTGATAGATTTTAGTATTTCACAATTCATAGTTATAACGTATCGAAACCAAATATGTTACATTCTTCGTAAGGAAATTTTTGAGGAACCTAAAACTAAAGATGGAGTTTAAAAAGGAAGCGAAACGTGAGCAACAAACATTACTCCCGGAACAACAGTAGATAAGTAACATGTCATTATAAATATAAATATAAAAGTCATTCTATTATTGATTTTTATCTTATTTACTGTCAACCAAATATTTATTTGATTACAATTACTTCATAATCCAATTCATTCCTTTATTTAATTCTTTTGACAGACTCTACTTTTTTTGCTAATCAATGAATTTTTCAATACTCTCCTATTTTTCATAATTCCTGTTGATATTGTAATTATATGCAATTAAATTCACGATTAAGAACTTTAGTAAAGCAGCTTTACTTAAATTATTCTTGTATGAAAACAAGGCGACGTAAACCATTTAAATAACAAGGTGACTATTCTGTTATCCGAGAAGGTAAAAAAAAAAATTATGGTTTTTTGCGTTCAAAATTCAAATTGTTGATCACAACAATTCTGTTGATGAATTTGTTGAGTAGAAAAGGAGACATCTTTCACTAATTTAAAGAAAAGACAGAACGACTTTTTTTTAAGATGGAAAAGTTGAATTAACATGTTACCTTCATTATTGTTTGAATTATTAAATAATAATGCCAATAAAACAAACAAGATTAACAATCAAATCAACCCCACATCATTGGAGAAAACTTGTGCTCAACTCCAAAAAACAGAAACTTCTATGGCATATCCTAAAGGCTAAAACAGACCAAACACTGTTCCATCTTACAAATATTAATAAGAAATAATTATTTACTAATGTAAATCAATTCCAAATTTTGTTACCATTATCTTTGTTTTAAGTACTTATTGTTTGTTATAGATCTAATTCAAAAATTATTTGTGTTACATTTGTTATTATTGTGGTTTCGTTTTGTTTTGCGCTTGGTACTATGTCCAAAATTAGACGTCAAATCATATCACATGCTGTATGAGAGGTTGTTTTCAATCATTCTTCATAAAACCATTAATCGCATTCACCAAATACAGAGATGAATAGACGAAAATACCCTCAGGCGTACGACTGGTGTAGCGTCCTGATTTTGAACTATGTGACCAAATCCAAAACAAAAATGAAATCAAGTTGATTAAATGGAGATGATATTAGTTTTTTCACTAAAAGGCGTAACAAATAATATAAAACAATAACCAAGTTCATAACTTATTTTTCATGTTATGTGAGCAAAATTTAGGTGGATCAATAATGAAAAAAACCAAAAGATATTTTGAGGATCACAAGATATGAACAATGAAGGTGAGGTAAAATGACAAATGAGATTTTGGCATCATGTGCATTGCACATGGGGGAAGAAGGCCTAACCCAAACGGGTGTCTACACATAATCATTGCTTTTCACTATCGAAAAGGGTCGGTTGGTTGGACCTTTGTCTCTCACATGGGTTGGATTGCCCCCACCCACCCCATGTTATCATCTCTCTCGGTATATCCTTCTATATTTATTTTCTTTTTTTCTTTTTTCAATTTTTTTACACAAATAAAATGGATGAAGTTCATGCCCATAGATTTAAACAAAATTTCTTCGCTATGAATAGTGGCATTTGTCTCATTAATATTTAATCATCTGTTTGACTAATGGACTAACATAAGAGGTGATTATGTTGACCTATAATGCTTCACAAACACCCTTCAAAATCCAAATGTTGTTTTTGTACAAACAATCAACAACTCCTACCACTACAACACTTGATGACCATCTATGTATTTTAATCTTCCCTCTAGTTCTCACAACCCTTGATAAAAACATTATAATCCCTAATCACCAAAAAGAACTCTAAAATCATCATGCATTTTTTTTTAGTTATACATTGTACAACTATTTCTCCACAATAACCCATTAAGACATCTAAACTTCTGACTTAACCGAAATCTGCGAGAGTTGTTTATCCGCAAAATGCAAAAGCCTTCTTAACCTCAACACCATATCACAATGAAAAGGAAGCGATGTTCTTCTTTCTAAGTACCCGGGGCTCACAGTCATCCAAGACAACGCGTGTAGCTCAGCCGCCACTCTGTCCAAAATCACATGATTCTCGATAGATTTTCCCATGTTCTTGGATGTTTTTTCGTTATTATTATTGTTGTTGTTATTATTATTATTGTTGTTGCTATTGTTATTGTTGTTGCCTCCGTAGTAATCGAAAAGGGCTACTGAGAGAACCGAAGGCCATTCTTCTTTGGAGTTGGTTCTTGAATCTTTTCGCATGGAAGGAACGGCTTTTGAGACTACAAATCCGGTGGAAATGGGAATGGCGGAACCCTTGCTGTGGAGGAGGTGGGCGAGTGGCGGTGATTCCGAGGTTAGGCAGGTGGGGAGTTGGAGGGGGTTCGGGGGGAGGAATCGCATGGTGGGTGATGGAATGAATATGTAAGATGCTGATGTGGAACCCAGAGATTTTACAGGTGTGAATCCTTCCGTGTACACCGATTGCCCCATGATTCCACTCCCTTGAGTTGTCCCTGTTGCACCAAGAAATTTAAAAAACTAAATTAAACAGGAATCACATTCCTCGGAATGAACCATTCCATTCCTTCCAAAATAAAACTAACCTGGAGATGAATCCGCTTGGTAAACCAACTGTAATGAATGATCAACTGAAACCGATACAAAAGTTATACTTTGCACCCATTGAAGCAAACCCTTGGAATTATCCATTCCCATATGTCCACCACCACCACCACCACCACCACTCAAAATCTGCTTTCTAGAAGCTGCCTGTCCCATCCCACCACCTTTCATAAACCCACCACCCTTCCCATGAGCCGCCAGATTCCGATCTTGAATCATACCCATTTCAGAACCACCATTACTACTCGCCGGAATCCCATCCGGCACCGATCGCCGGAGCTGCAACGACCATTTTTTCACCTCCGAACCACCAATAGAATAAAGCGCTTTCTGCCATTCTGCATACACAATTACACATCACATCACATTACATTAATTAATTAACACGGGTATTATAATTGTAAATTGTAATACCAAAGGGTAGAAACGTAATTATACCTTGGCATTCAAGTTCAAAGAAGCAACCGATACGTGTAATGACAAAATCTCGTGGCCTGGCAGTGGTTGTTTCCGGTGAACATGCCTGAAGAATCTGACAACCTTGTTGCAAAATTTGAACAAAAAGGAATTGAAGCCCCTTTGTGTCTTGTCTACTACTGATTCCACCGAATGGAAACGTATAGCTATCGAGTAATTCCCCTCTGGAATCAGTCCATATACAAACAAGCCACTTCCAATCCTCTGTCCATCCATAACAACAATGTAAACTCGGGGGAGGTTTATGGGTCGACCCGTATCCGTCATCCAACCCGTCTCCGGTATCAGAACTCGTCCCATCATCTGACAAAACCTTCAATGATTCCGGCGGAATCCCGCGTTCCGGTGAATCCGCAAGAATAAAAAGCGGCTCAAACATGTATTTTAACTCATCTTGAAGAAAATATTCTCCCGTGACACGATTAGACATTTGCCATGAGTTGTTATCCCACTCGCCCTCTCTAGGTCCCACCATCCGAGGGGCAATTGAGTCTTTCCACATCCCCGGAATCGGCGAGTTCGAATTCATTTGCATCATTCCCGAATGAGACTGCGACTGAGATCTAACCGATGGAATGGAATCGGCGATTCCATTCCCTCGGGAGATTCTTCGCGCTTTATTGTAGACTGTGAAGGCGATTTCTTTCAATATCACGGGCTCGGTGAGAGACGGGGTTGTGACACGAAAGATGGAATCAACGGTTATGATTTGGAGGACTAATTTAGGGACACTGAAACCGGAAATTGTCACGATGTTTGAAATTGATGCTTCATCTACAGCTGTTGTGCAACTTAAAGCCTTTCCAACTTGATTTTGTAAGGCGGATCTTCGTTCTTTATCGGATGGTGGACACATGGCAGATCCAATGGCTACACATGATTCAACCACGGTTTTTAAAATCGAAACGGGTTCGGGAAACGGGCACACCACGTATATTACTGTGCATGGAGTGGTGTTTCCTTCTTTTGAATTAGGGGCAAAGATGGAATTGAGTTTTAGGGTTTTGAGAACTTTGGAGAGGGATTTCAAGAAACTTGTTAAATCCCAACCGTTGGATAAAGAAAGAAAGTAATCACTGATTGATCCCACGAGAGATGCACTATCGCCTTCGATCTTCATTGATTGAGGGCAATCTAGTAAAACAAACCCAGAAGTTGACCATTTGACCGAGTCTTTGGAAGTTTGGTTACCCAAATTTTGAGGTGAATGAGTTCCCAATTTGCAGGTTTCATAAACTGTATGAAAACAGATACTTAGTTCATTCAGTCCAAAAAAGAAAAAGAACTTAATGGAAAAAGAAGACAAGTAATTATGACACACCAGTGTCGAGCTGTTGAAAAAAGTCTGCAGCAGCAGTTGTAAGGGGATCAATATCTGGACATACAACGCAATAATTCATCTGCAAAAATTATGTAAAAGAAGATAATAAATTCGTTGACAATTATTAATAAGAAGTTAAAAACTAAGGGTAAATTAAATTTTTCTCACGTGTTTCTGCATAGCATAAGGTTCAAAAGGAGCTTTTTCCCAATGTTGAAGAGAGCTTGCTGATGTCTTTAGCCAATCATCTTGATACCTGTTATATTTGAATACACCCTTTTAGAGTTTGACTGGTCAAAATAACATTATAAAAACTTTATATTATTAAAAATAATAATAATAATAATAATAATACCCAACAAGAATAGCAGGAATAGGAAGCACAAGAAGTGCAGGCCTGAGGCCGAGTTGCTGCTCTGACTCATCTTGGTTTGATCTTCTTTCGCTTACATCATCAATTCGATTTCCATCTATCAACAATATGTGATTTTTATTTTATTAAAACAATAAAATATATATCTAACAAACGTATTTACCATTTACTAAATGAGTAAAAAATATTTGCTACCTTTGCTAAGACAGGATGTTGATCCACCAGCAGATTGAGATGGGCTTGTTGGTGTACTTGAAGAATCTCTACAATCATTTATACTTGCTGATGACTCAGCTGAAAACCCATCAATTTGACCATTTCGCCCTTTGCACCAATCCATGACTGACAAGGGTCCATCAAAGTTACCAAAAGCCGATTTCAAGGCTAATTTTATATCCGATTGTAGTAATGTTATAGCATACGATGCCGGAACCTGAAACATAACATTAAAGTTATCAAAAATACAAAATTTCACAAAAATGTAGAATGATTACATCAGCGGAAAGTGGAAGCTTACATCAGCAGAAAGTGGATCCGCTAACTCGACACCAGCAATATCAAGAGAATGAGAAGCCGCCAACACCCCGCCACAACCCGCATGAACCAAAGCGGGCCCACATGAAAACCCGCGTCTCCATTGCTCTTGCATTGCCAACCACCCGTAGGGCCCGTCCCCACAATCGGAATCCAAAGTGACATCAACAAAAGTCAACGCTTGTTGAAAAAGCAAAGACATTCCATCAAGAAGCTCTAAAAGAGGTTGCCTTTGACCATATGACAACAACATTCCTTCCTCAGTAAAAGAATTATGAGGAATATTCCCGAAAGATTCCATATTCTGTGTCATGCTCATTGCCTTTGACCCTTTTGCGACACCAACTGTCCTCCAAACACCAACAGGCGAGTTCAAAGGCCCATCTAGAAGCCCAGTGTCCATGTCACCACCCGCGATTCTAACTGGAATTGTTTCTTTCTTTTTTATATCATATTTTGATGACATGTTATCCCCCAAAACATTCGATTCACTATGCATTTGATACAAAATTGTATTATTATTATTATTATTATTGTTGTTGTTGTTGTTGTTCCCGGATAATCTGTTTGAAGCTAATAATGTATGTCTTATTCTACACATAAAAGCTTGAAACATGACGCATTCGAGTTCATTCGCGACACCTGTCTTTGATGACAAAACAAAATTCTCCATTCCTAATCCTCCTTCCAAAATCTTTGATCTTGAAGCAGTACTTAAAGAACTGAAACCTGAAGCATTAGCATTAGCATTAGCATTAGCATTAGCAACATCTTCTCCAAAACCAAAACTGTCACGAAACGAAAGCTTTTCATCCTTTTCATCTTTTTTGTCTTTAAGTTTTCCACTTTCCACATGAGTGTAGTAGTTCTTATCATTCAAATTCGCACCTGATTTATCATCAGATAAATCATGCTTAGGAGGAATTGAAGAGTAGATGTAATTATTCGTGCTTGAATTTGCACTTTCGGTTGTTCTTGATTTTGGGACATATGGGGTTTTAATGACAGTTAATAACAAGTCATTTCCAGGGGTTTCAACTGCTGAATATTCAGGTGCGAATGTCATCATGGCTTCTGCTTTTATTACATAATCAAACTCAGTGTTGTTAGCTGGTGGGTTGTAGTTCATTGAGCCTGATGACACTGTTTCTTTTGTGAGTTCTTGATTTTTGCTTATGGATTCTTCTACAACAGTTGATGGAGGATTAAAGCTTTCAAAAGATGAAAACCCAAGTGGAATAATGATCTGATCAGATGCATCCATCATCCCTGTAAATGGGCTGCTACTTGCATCTCCACCATCCGTTGCAGAAAACATGGGAGTTTGTGTTTGTGACTCTTCAGTCCCTGGTGGCTTTAAATTTTTCAAAAAAAACACATCATAAAAGTTTAGAAGAAAACAAAAGTGTTTTTCTTAATTGTTTTGTAATTTTATCACTTACTTCTCCAAATGGTAAAGCATCATTTTCAAAAAAGTCTCCAAAATCTCCAAACTCTGAGAGAAGTGCTTGAATGTCCATACCCATGCCTCTGTCATCATCATCCCAATCCCACTGGGACCCACCTTGCTCATTGTTGACTTCCATTGACCCAAAGTCATTAATGACTGCTCCAGCTTGACCATATGACTCGGTCAATCCAGGCCTTGATCGCTTGCTACCCTGCATAATTTTATATGATTCATAGATTTAAAATACATAATTTAAGATAATGCAAAAAAAAATTACTATTTAGATAAATGATTATACCATTTTGGAGGCATCAATATGCATTTGATCAGCAGAAGTTAATCCAGATTTTATGCAAGAAAGAGAATCAGCATCAGCTTCAAGGTCACCAGTTTCTGCTGTCATTCTATAATCACTATCACTAGATGAACTTGTGCTAATACTGCTACTATTACTATTCCCACTACTATTGTAACCCTGTTGACATCGGATGCTTGCATCATGCCATGATCCATCCATGCTACTCAAAGCATCACTACACAGAGATCCAAACAGAATTCGGATTATGATTATGATTATGATTATGGAATTGTAAATGTTACAATGTTTTTGTATGTTTTAATTGAAAACAAAAAGAGTTACCATTGCATAGAGAAAGAGGAACCAGACAATGATGGGCCCATCCAGTTTTGAAGCCAGAATCTATACAATAAAGTAACACTTAGTGAACATATAAATAGATAATAGCAATATAAGCTTATTTACTTTTTTTTTTTTAAATAATGAAAGATAAAGTGGGATGCCTTTTTAGAGAGGATCTAGCGGATGATGTTTGAACAACGGGTACAAGAACTGCTTCGGTTGGATATATGAAAGTTTTATCGTATGTGGGCCCCTTCTCATTTTCAGTTGAATGATGCTTTGAAAAGTTTTTAGTTGAATTTGATGGTAATGGTTTCTCATTTTTGACACTTTCGCACCCTAGGGTTACTTCAAGGTAACATTTTTGGCCCCTGAGTTGGCACCCGGAGGTTTGGGACATTTGGTTTGGAAGACCAACAATTCCATTTGAAGCCTTGAACTTTCCAGAACTGTTCATTACAAGAACAAGAAAGAAGAAGAAATATGAGTTATGTTGTTATTATTAAAATATTAATTATTATAAAAAGAAGTTATGAAATGAAGGAATACCTGAAATACAATTGCTTCACAAGATCACCTGGACAAAATCCTGTAAGTCTGCCACGCATTCCATGAGGTGAAGCAATAACTGCATAAGGAAATACTTTATAGGGTTAAATACAAGAAATAGCAATGTACTTTTCTCGATTTGTTAACTATAGCATTCTACTTTCATTTCTTCTTATTACAGAATTGTTTTTTTGGAAAATCTGTCATCCAAATATAAATGGAAAGATTTTTAGAGTATAATGGTCCAAAAAGAAAAAGATTTAGCAGTTATTGCTATAATTGAATAGATTTTTTCAAAGTACAATCAATGCTTTAATAAGAATAAAAATGAGAGTACAAAGTTGTAATAGAATTAAATGAAAGTAGGATGCTATAAATCAACCTGGAAGCCTGTCACTAGAATGACTAGACGTGCGCTTCAAGATTGCCTCCATGTCACCATTTGAAAGTGCCCGAACATGCCTGGTAGGAAGAAGGGTATAAATGTAAATATCTTCAAATAGCAAATAAGAGCTCATAAGTCATAAAGACAATTGATGATTTGATGAAAGAAAAAAAGAAGGAAGAAAGCAACAAACTTTGCAGATATTATGACATGAACGAATACTGCTTCTTCTGTTGCAGTAAATATGAACTCAAGCATTGGTCTGCCTCTCCTACAATGGCAAAAATCGTAATTTTTAAGCTACTTCAACACCCAAAAAGTAAAAATTATAGAATATCAATGATCATACCTAAATGATTCTCCTTGTGAAGATGGATGGTATCTTGAAAATACATCCCCAAATCTCATATATGAAAGATTTACTAATGCTCTGTCAACATTAGTTAAGAGAAAATGAAATTCATATGTTTATTATATAGTTTTCTTCAAGAAACTTAAATAAAGAATAAAAGAGGAAAAAAATAAAAAAGAAGAACCTTTCAATACAATTCCTTAAAGCTTGAGAAAGTGCAGCTGCCACCTCTTCAGAATCCCCAGGTGCTAACCAAACTCCAGATGCAAGAACTGCAACAAATTATGAACATGGATTACACCATGATTTGCTTATAAGTTATATCTGCTTTCATTATTTTTGTATTTTTATAGTATTGTCGCTAGTATATGTTTTCACAGATTATAAACATGGATTGCAACAAAAAAGTGCACCTCTCAGTTTAGATACAATGGCTTTGGCTTTATCATTGGGAGACGAATGGCGACCAGGGATAAAAAGCCATAGCTTGATTTTCTCATCTACAAGATTTTGTCAAGTAAGAATTAGTTGGAGGACTAAATATGTCACTTTTTCAATTCTTGAAACAGGTGATTAAAGAGTTAAAAGGTTTACCAGGGTTATGTAGACCCTGAGATGGATCCCAAGGGCCAACAAAAGAATTACCCCATGTGCTAAGGAATCCATCTTTTTGTAACTGCAAATGGGATGAAAGGACTAATTGTGCAGCAAAATCTCTTTGGTTTAACTTTGCACTGTGAAAATATTGAAAAAGATATGATTTTTAGCAAGAATTAATAAATTATAATATACTAAAGTATTAAAATTTGTGAAAATGAAGAACCTTCTATCAGAAATGTTGGGATCAGATTCGTTCGGGAGATACTGGAACCATGATACTTGATGTAGACCACCCTTCAGAAAAGTCAAAGAGAGAGAGTAAATGAGAATATGAATAATAAAACCATGTGATCTTTAGAAACAATAACACGCGTCCAAAATGGAAGAAAATCAAGAACTTGAATAAGTAGCCGAAAATGATAAGTAGATGGCAATTGTTAACATTACTATAGCCGAATACAAGCGATAATAATATATTCAAAAGAAGATTAGTGTAAAGGGAAGAAACATACGATTTTGAAGACATTTGTCCACATCACTAATGCACTTGAACACCTCCCCACAAGTTCAAATCAGGTAAAAACTTTGTTCTATTGAAAGCCACATTCGTATCCTCATTCAAGTAAACTCGTAGAGGTCTTCCCCTTGACAACTGAAGGAAATTGAAATCAGCCAATTGTATGGTTTGTGATCAGAATCAAATGAAATTATTAGCAACTGAGGTTAAGAAAGATTTCATTGGTTGAATAAAAGAGATACAGAGTGTTTAAAGTAGTCATATACATGATGTTTGTGTGACATATGAGGGATCATAATGAATCCCTAGCTAGCCCTAGAAACTTCAAATTTGATCAAATTAAAGCGCAATCAGAGTAACAATTGGAAACCTAGCTCCATAATCGCATATAAAATATGGACCCAATATAGCCAATGAAAAAAAACGAATGCGAAAATCCCCAAAAATATAAACATACAGATAATATGAACTGAGATGAATGGCAATTGCATACCTAATCATAGATTACGAAACATTTTCCTTTGCTGCATCAAGCTACTAGCTGTCCCACGCGATGATTGAAGTATTCAAAGGCAAGGTTCAGCTACTGAGGATTTCAATTTCAAGTATATAGAAACAAATTTAAGAAAGGAAGTAAGTTGCTAAAATCGTATAAGCTAAAAGAGTGGAAAAACAAAAAATTTGAGCTCTGATTATGTGAACCGGTGGAGATTTCGAGAAAACTGAAAACGGGTTTTCAATTAAGACTTACGGAGGTGAAAGAGATCTGTAAATGTGCGAATTCTGGGTAACCAATGAAGAAATTTGATGAAACAACGAACAGAATACGAACCCTTTGCGTTGAAAGATTCCCTTTTCAGCAAGAAAAGCGAAGGGTTTTATGTGTTGGGGATGGTAAGTGCTGCTATGGCTGGATTCTCCTGTGAAGAATCGATCCTCCACTCCTTTTCCTTCCGTTTATTTCTCGTCTTTCTTTTTCCGGTTTGTGGTTTATGGCTTGTTGGTGTGTACTGTGTCGTCAAGGCTGACGAATCCATTTCGTGCCTTGTGGTTTTGGAATTCGACACTTGACTCCCCTCAAGATTTTTAGAATTTTCACTTTGAAGTAGTAATAAATTGTTATATACAGTATTTTTTTTTAGAGCGGCAGTTGTGTCATCGGAAGCTCCTTCATATATTTCAGTAAGGGTTATTGTCACTCTAACCCAACAAACTTTAGTATATTGGTTTAAATGGTCCCTCGTAACTTTTTTTGCATTTGAAGGGCATGTACTTATGTTTTACCGATTGAAAAAGTAGGTATTCTTGCTTAGTCACCTGCCAAGTAAGCACTTCCAAAATGCAACCATCGTCTCCACTGTACTCCTCCACTTTTTTTCTTTTTGCAAAACATTGAACCTAGAATATATACAAACCCACAGACATAAATTAGCAATGGTAAAGATGAATCGGTTTTTTTCGGAAATGAAGCAACCATTGATTTGAGTTTCAAGATGTACTCTTCCATTCACCTTCATTATCAGTGCTCTCCTTCTACCACCAAACCGACACCACCGCTATTATGCTTCTGCCCTGACCATCTCCTTAGTCATCTACAAATCAATATCACTGATTCCGACTCCATTACATAGAATTGTTTCTGATTCAGGAAACATTTCACGAATTCTAGCCCTAGTTTTACCAGATCTGAATGATGGAAACAATGGCGGCGATGACACAGACAGCAACAATGATTGTTGATCCACCACAGACTGGTGACCTTAAATCTTTCAAGTGCAGATTGATTATGCTACAAATATTTTGCGTCCTTCTTATAGAACCGTTTCTGATTCTGGATTTTGCTGCATATTGATTCCAGTTTGTTGTCGATTGATTCCGACCGGTTGCTCATACTCAATGGTGGTTGTTCAAGCAGAAAAATCCGTTTGTGACCGAAACTCCATGAAGCATCCTGTGATTTGCAGCTAGAACGGTCGTACCATCGTCTCCCACTATTCAATTCTAATATTCGAGGCATTTTCTTCCAGCAACTACACAGTTCCAACCATGTCTTCTCACAACGTCCAACATTTCATCGAGCAGTTCCCTAAGGACGCTCATTCCAACTACAATAACTTGTCACAATTCTTCCCTATCCTTCCAATCCACCGACTTTCCAATCGCCCATCAAATTAGAGTATCCAAGTTCTGTGACGATGAAACTTCCACACCTTTGATGTACAGGGGAGTGGGAGGCAGTGCAGATCTATCCCGCATGATAGAGGCAATCATTGGTGGAAGGGAATAATAGAGGCGGTCATCGATGGAAGGAAGCGAGGAATTAGGGTTTCCGGCGATGTGGGGATGAGAGAGAGAGAGAGAGAGATCTTAATTGATAAGAGACTTCCGATAGGTGGCATTTTTTTAACCTTAAACCTGCTGACTAGGAAGGGGATCACCGGATGACCCCTTCATTTTTTTTAAAGGACTTTTTAAACCCTAAAAACATGAATTCGTACCCTTTAAAGGCAAAAAAAAAGTCATGAAGGACCATTTAAACCAATATATGAAACATTATTGGGCTACAGTGACAATAACCCTTTCAGTAAAGGCCTCAAGATCGAATCATCCAATAGATTGTTATATGAATGATTTGGGAAACAAGGATGTGATATAAGTAGAGACAAGGTATAGAAGTGAATATTCATAATAAGGTCAAAATGTATATTCATCTCATTCCTTTATATTTACCATACCTCATTTTTTTGTCATTATTCCTTTATTTTGTTCATAATTTTTATATATTGTTTAATAAATATGAATCAATAGGATATTGTATTGTAAGTGTCAAAACAATGGAGAAAAAAAAAGGAGGTTATGTAGTGGTTTCGGTTCTCATAGTGAAAGGTATTATACTCATCACACCAAGTGGTGTGATGTTCTCCCACCTCCCTTCAATACCACAACACCCCTGCCACATGTTGTGGTGAGGGTACATGTAACACTTATGCCATGGCATGTACCTTATGACCCCTCTATTTTGAAATTATGCATTTTGGTCCCTGAAGTAGTACGCGGGGAGTACTACTTGGTACGCTTAGCGTACTGAGTTTATTGGCGAGTCGGGACCTAGGTCACATACGTCGGGCGTACGTGGACTTTAATGAAACCCTGATTGAGGGTCTTGCACCATATATAAGCCACCTTATTCTCTAGGGTTGGCCTCATTTCCAGCATCCAACGCCTCAAAAACCCTAAATCGAGTTGTAGCCTCCATTGTAAAGCATTTGAGCGTTTGAAGAGAGTTTGGTGTTTATTTTGTGCATTGTGAAGGAGTTAGAAGATCTTAAAGTTACTAAGCTTGGAGAGGAAGTCTTTTATCTAGAACCACTACCCATTTTGCAAGGAGTTTGAGGTATCAAGTATTATCTTGATTAATAGTTGCTTAGATTTCTTTTTGGGTTAAATTGTTATGTGTTTAGCCATGGTTTGGGTGAATGATGGAATTAGAACGTCCCAAAGACTTATTCTTTCATATCTAAGGTTATCATGGGCTCCTTAGGCATAAAGATGCCAGCTTTATGGGGTTTAGGGCCTTATGCATTCATTAAGTCTCTTATTAATTCCTTGTTGAGCTTTAGAGCTTTATATACTCATGCATGGATGTAAAGTTGGCAACTTTACGTGATAACCCAACTCAAGGAGGTCAAATATGCATTCTAGGGTGAAGTCTTAATGGGTTGAGAGCTAAATCTAGAAGATGGTTGATCTGGATGAGTATGTTGTGCGTACAAGCCTGTACACACAGTGTACAAGCCTTCGAGCCAGTACGCTTAGCATACAAGCTGAGTACGCCCCGTACTCAATTAGGTGGCATTTCAAAGTTGGGCCTTAGGTTTGGGCCACATTTTGGGCTTAGAAGGTTAGGGTTTAGTTGGGTCATCTGAATTTGGGATTTTTAGGCCAGAAATATTATTAGGCCTTGGGCTAAGGACCATAAGAAGGAATTGGACCCAATTTGGAAAATTGAGCCATAAGTGGGCCTTAAAGGATTATTCGATATTGGGCCTTTTAGATTTTAGATTTGGGCCTTAGTCTTGGATCAAGCTAGGCCATGGGTAAAATGATCATTTCACCCCAAGTATGGATCATTAGTTATAGTCTGGAACCCAAGTGTTAATAGGGTGTTATTTTGTACTGATAGCCCAAGGAGTTGTCAGGACAACAACTAGGGATCTTTCGTGAGATTCAGCATTCGAGGTGACTTTCCTCACCATGTATAGCGGGTCGAAGGCACCAATGTCAACCCATGATAGGATATGTTAGGATTGTTAGGTGTATTTTATGCACCATTGAAGCATGTTTAATTTACTCTTTTGCATTTCAATTTAGTAATAATCCATGCATTTTACTTGTTTTGGGACAAAACTTGGCACACTTTATTTCCACACTTTTATGCCATTTCAGGTGGTTCTAGAGGTTGTAGATGAATCAAGATGGTGAAAAAGGGCTGAAAACAAAGATGCGGATTTTTCGGAGCAAAATTGAAGAAAACAAGAAATTGTCATAGAATGACACGGGTCGTGTCAAATGGTTTATCAACATACATTGGTTGAGGATTAGAAAATTTTCCAACTTTTTGAGTGACACGGAGTCGTGTCATTTCTTCACAAATTGACACAGGGTCGTGTCTGTCGCATAACTTCCTGGGGCGGTTTTCTTTATGATCTAATTTTGGGATTTTTAGGGGGGATACAGACTCTCATTGACTCCAGGTGACCAAGGACGACTCTTAGAAGAATTTTTTAGTTTGTAGCTTGAAGAAGTTCATTTGGAAACATTTTAATTTCATCTTTATAAGCACTTTAATACTTTAATTTCCTTTCTAGACTTGTTAATCTTGTTCTAGTCATGTGTGGCTAAACCCTAGTTTCTCCAACTTTATGTTTTGACTTCTTGAGTTATGATTTCAATCATATGACTTGATGTTTGCTTTTAATTTCTATTTAGTGAATTTGATTTTGCTTTAATCAAATGTTTGTATCTAATTGTGATTCTTATTGGCCATTTGAATTAGGGTTAGGTCATTCAAGTTATCTAATTGCAAAATCTGTAATTGTTTTGTGAATTGGACTAAGTAACAAGCACTAAATTGATTTCCATTGAATGAATTTAGTGTAAATCTTATTTACACACTCTTACACTCTCGAGCTTGTGATGAGTATTAGGTGTTGTTGGGAACATTTACATAAAGTTTAATGCAACCTTTTAATCTAATTCTAAGAGTTTGTTTAGATTAGGTTAGTAAGGTTAGGTTTAATCAAAAAGGTTCTTTTGGTTAACTAATGTAGTGAATGGGAAGTGTTAGAACTTATTAACACTTTCAAGTACCAACTTAGATAGAATTGAGCCAATATCTAATCATCTTTGAATCACATTGCCAAGTTGTCATACATAGAGTTGGACTCCTTACAAATTATAAATTTAATTCATTCATTTAGTTGATTACTTGTGTTTTTAATTGTTTTTTTAATCACTGCATTCAAAACCCCCATCTTTAGTGTTGGTAATCATAATACCTTGCGCAAAGAGGTATAGATTGATTGTCCTGTGTCTCTGTGGATCGACCTTGCTTGCCTTGTACTACCTTTTAGTGCAATACAGTAGTGTTATTTTTGGAGTATATCGTACCCCTTTATTTGTTGGGCTTGACACTCCTAACAAATTGGCGTTGTTGTCGGGGACACGGTGTTACTAATTGTTTATGCCAAGATCTTTCCGTACAGGTACACCATTGCCAATTGACTCGGAGATAGTGAAGACTGCAAAGAGGTTAAGGAAGCAAGCCAAGCTTCGTAAGAGGCAACCAGTTTCCAGGACTTTTTCATTTTCTACCCCTCCTGTCATCAACATTTGGGAGGACATACCTCTCTCAAGTGTGTCTGCGTCCGAAACAGAAAGCCTGTCACTCTCATCTCAACCACCCTCACCCAAAAATACCACTCCACCATCTTCACCTACTTATAATATCCCAAACACTACACCCACAAAAAATTCAACCACAACTCACACCATGGTTGATAACCATGGAGGGAATCCACCTCCAAACCCACCACCCGAGCAAACTCTCTGTTAATGGTCGAGGCAAAAGGTTACTCAACAACCTCTTTGCATCACATATCTGGCAGCCACAAATCTGGAACTTAAATGTGGACTCATCCACCTACTCCCTACCTTTAGAGGTTTGGAAAATAAAGATCCCCACAAGTTTCTAACAGAATTCCATGTTGTGTGTGTTGGCATGAAACCACATAATGTCACGGAATATCAAATCAAGCTTAGGGCATTCCCCTTCGCAGTGCAAGACGCGGCCAAAGACTGGCTTTATGACCTCCCACCGGGGACGGTAACTACTTGGGTAGATCTTGCGAGGTTGTTTTTGGATAAATACTTCTCAGAGATGAAAGCTTTAGCCCTACGGAGGGAAATAATTGGAATCAAGCAACATAAGAGAGAAAATTTTCACACATATTGCGAGAGGTTCAAGAAACTTTATGCTCATTGTCCCAAGCATGGAATCATCGAATACCAGCTCCCCCAATACTTCATTGAAGGAATGACTCCAATGGAAATAAGGCTTCTTAATGCCTCAAGTGGCGGTTCTTTACCCGACAATACTCCAACTGAAATCCGCAACTTAATCAAAAATATGGCTGAAGATTCTAAGCATTCAAGTCATGATGAAGAATGGTACACGGATGCACCCCGGGGTATAAAAGAAGTCCAGACTCCTCAAATTGAAGCTCAATTGTCCGAGCTCACAAAAGTAGTAATGATGCTAGCAAAAGATAAAGGTGTGCAACCCACACCCCGCCCTTGCAGTATTTGCACTCAAGTAGGGCATCCAACTGATATGTGCCCTCAACTTCAGGATGAGGATTATGAAGAAGAAAAATCTATGGGAGGCGTTTCTGGGTCAAATCAAAGGGGATATGAGCAGCCATAGGCTTTTCTGGGTCAAATCAAAGGGGATATGGG